GCTGCTTCTACTCATGGCAGAAAGTGGCAAGCAGCCGGTGGGCATAAGCAGGTCACATGGCGAGAGGAAGCAAGAGAGAGAGAGGAGGTGCCAGGGTGTTTTTAAACAACCAGCTCTCACAGGAACTAATAAAGTGAGAACTCACTCACTATCCCCACCCTCCAGGGAGAGCATTAATCCATTCATGAGGGATCCGCCCCCATGACTCAAACAGCTCCCAACACTGCCATATTGGGGATCAGATTTCCACGTGAGGTTTGGGGGGACAGCACATCCAAACTCCGTCAATATCTATAAAGAGAATTTTCCCTCATCAACTATTTGAGTTGCCCTGAGGTACACCTTGAAAGAGAAATCATCGCCTGCCATTTTGAGTGTTGAGGGAAAAGGGAAAAGAAGCAAAACTCAGATGAACCAGCTTTGCTAACTGGTAAGAGTGTTCCTCAAAGCATTGGTGCAGGAGTGATGGAGTGACCAATGGAAACGAGATGTGAGATCCTCCTGTCTGGTGTCCTCATTACTTCTGCATGGATGATTATGAGTTGGCCCTTAGTCTCCACCACACAATTTAGTCTTACCTGCATGCACTCCCGTTCTATTACTGAGCTTTGTCCTGACTCCCCAGTTCAGCTCTGAGGGCAAAAAACCCACCTTATACTTCTTGAGTCCTCATAGACCTAGCAAGGCACTGAGCACTGAGTAGGCTGTCAACAAATGACAGTGTGTAAATTCAAAGTGATAATTTATTTTATCATTATCATAATCATCCTCAAAAGCACTTTTGAAATGTCTGTGTGGTCACAGAGCTGGATGGAATGGCTTAGTTCCACCCCTCAATAAGTCTTAAATCAATAATGGGCAGTACCATCACAGATCAACGTTGAAAGGGTGCACAGACCCGAGCTGATAAGACGACAGGACCCGAGCTGACAGTTCGCCAGAGAAGTTCCACTTTATTCAAGGACTGCACTTATATTTATAGGGAGCTGCGTTCTGGGTTTGGATAGGGGGTGGATGGGCGGTAGCTGATTGGACGGGGCTGGGCAGGAAGTGAGCCTTGACCTGTGACTGGTTGAGGTTTTGGCACCAGCGGGCTTGTTTACTGCAGAGAAGAACCCGGAAGGGAGCCATATTGCCAGGGAGTGCCTTCCCTCTGCCCCCTCCGCTTGAGTGCCCACGGTGTCCTTACAGACATGAAGCAGCCAGATATTGAACCAGCCCTAAATGAATACACAAAATACACAAGTATCTTCCAGAGGTAATATATTACTGCCAAATTGCCTTCCAGAAGGCTCGCACCAGAGCATACTCCTGCCCCACACAATCAGTGTATGAGCATGCCTACTTCCCCACCTACTTACCAACACTGGGCATGATCATTTCTTTTTCTTTTTTTTTTTTTTAAAAGATGACCGGTAAGTGGATCTTAACCCTTGACTTGGTGTTGTCAGCACCACGCTCAGCCAGTGAGCAAACCGGCCATCCCTATATGGGATCCGAACCCGTGGCCTTGGTGTTATCAGCACCACGCTCTTCCGAGTGAGCCACAGGCCGGCCCCATGATCATTTCTTTGAATCTTTGCCAATTCTGTAGGTGAAAATGGAATCACATGTTCTAATTTATACTTCCAATTAGTAGTGAGAATAAATACCTCATAATATTGGCCGTTTGTGTTTCTCCTTTTGTGCTAATTACCTATCCATCCTTTTGCTCATAGGCATTGTGTTCCCTGTGTACTGCTGGATGGGGGCGGGTGCTAAATGCCACCACTATACAAACAATCAGGAACACTTTTTAAAATATATATCTGTTATAAAAAAAAAAGGAAATACATGTATGCAAAAAATGTTTAAAGAAAAATTATTCATAATCTTACTTCTCAGAGAGAACCATTGTTAATAATCTCATTATTTCCTTCAAGATTTTCTATAATCTGGGGCCGGCCCGGTGGTGCACTGCTATAGTGCTCCTCTTGGGAAGCGTGGTGGCGCTCCCGCCTAGGGTTCGGATCCCACATACAGACCGGTTCCCGCTCACTGGCTGAGCGAGGCGCGGGAGCAACACCGAGGGTTGCGATCCCGTTGCCGGTCCTAGTCTGGTATGGGGGCGACACTGAGGGTTGCGATCCATTGCCGGACACGGAAAAAGACAAAAAGGAAAAAAAAAAAAAAAAAGATTTTCTATAATATGTTTTTTACACACATGGGATCTTACTAGATTCAGTTTTTTTGTAACCTGTTTTCTTCTTGGGAACCTTTGCGATCTCTGCAAAGAATGACAAATAAATAAGAAAAAGATAAATATAGAGTTTGTGAATAGAAAAATAAGCAAAAGATATATAAGAATAGGTTATTTCCAAAAGGAGAAGCACAAATGACCACTATAAATAGGTATTTCATCCTTAATGTTCATTGGGAATATAAATTAGAACAAACATATGATTTTAGTTTTCATTATTACAGAATTGGCAAAGATTCAAAGAAATGCTAATGCACAGGGTTTGCAAGTGGTGAGGAAGTGAACATTCTCATCTCATGGATGAAGGTAATGTGCTTTGGGGCTAGCTATCCTTCTGGGAAGAAATTTAGCCCTAATAAGGTCTTAAGAATAAGTGTGCCCTTGGAAACACCAATATCACTTTCAGCAGTTTATCTGAAGGAAATGACCAGTAATTTGAGTGACAATGTGTAAGTAAAAGAAAGTGGGGATTGGGCAGGAACAGTGTGTTATATTCATACCATAGAACACTGCATGGCAATTAAAATCATGTTGTAGAAGAGTATTGTTTGACGTGGGAGAATGTTCATGATGTATTACCATGTGAAGGAGGGAGGGTGCTGAAAAGGGGACACGGCATGACCCCTTTTTGTCTGCACATATATGCACACAAATGACTGAAAAGAAATTCACCAAAACTTTAACCATAGCAAATTATTCTGGGTAATGAGATTATGAGTGTTAATTTTTTTTTTTTGTGCTTTTCTAAGGTTTTTGTGTTTGTTTTTCTAAGGTTTTTAACAACTTAACAAGTACTACTTGTGTAAAGTAGAGGAGACGATGTCATTAAAAAATTGTTTCTAAGAGAATTATGAGTTGATTTGAGGCAACTCCAATGGACATAAGAATTTGATTCTAAATAGCTCTAACATTCTGATGCTGGCAGTGACCACCACTGGAGAGGTGGCTGGAGAGGTGACCACCACCCAAAGGTCCTACGTTTTATTGTGCCAGGTTTCAGTGTGGCTTGACCTCTCAGGGTGAGGGCTGAGGCCCTCAGCCCCGGGGCATTTTCCTTTTGCTCTGCTTAGTCCTCTGTCTGAATTAGAGGTAGGAGAAGTAAAGGAAATGAGAAGAAATCATTCTGCACAAGGAGGAGGAGGGAGACTAAGGTGCAAAGGAGGTGGTCCCACACACCAACCCCCTTGGCATGTGTTTAAGGCATCTACCTCAGGCAAAACCCCACAGAGAGAGCCACTAATATGTGCCCAAAGACACAGAGCAACTTTATGAACTTGCTGCCAGACAGAAGCAAAGCAGCCTGCAATAAAGCAAGAGGAATATTCACCCCAGGCGCTCAGTGCCCTGAAGATGCTTTGTTTCTGCTGCCTGAAACTTGTTCAGAAGAAGGAGGAAGAATGGTAATGGGGCCTGGAGGAGTTAAATTTACTTTTCTTTCTTGGTATAAATAAAAATGAGTTGGGAGATCAGAATGCCGTATGCCAAGTCCTAAATAGGATGATTTGTACGGTATCTATGATAGAAGTGAAGCCCAAGGGGCCGGCCAGGTGGTGCACTGCTACAGTGTGCCATTTGGGAAGCGCGGTGGCGCTCCTGCCGAGGGTTCGGATCCCACATACAGACCGGCCACTCGCTGGCTGAGTGAGGGGCGGGAGCAACACCGAGGGTTGCGATCCCGTGGCCGGTCCCGGTCCGGTACGGGCACGACACTGAGGGTTGCGATCCGTTGCCGGTCACGAAAAAAGACAAAAAGGAAAAAAAAAAAAAAAAGAAGTGAAGCCCAAAACAGACGTGAAGATGGAAATGACATGGTTAGGCAGGTCGAATCTTAGAAGAGGGTGATGGTTCAAATGTTATAGGACCCTGGAGTAGGGAGCCTTAAAACAAAGACCAAATAGAAACGAGTTCCACAGCCACTGACAAAAGGTTAAGCAGAAAGACCCCATCTTTCCAGTCTAAGGGAGAAGTCCTCACTACCCACCCCACCAGCAAACCCCACAAATCCAGCTCAACTGAACAAGGCCTCATGACCACCCGGTTTTCAGGTCTGAACCCTGTGAGGACCCCATGAAGCGTTCCCTGGGATTCTCCTCTCCGTCTTTGCTATCCAGCCCCACACATCTTCAAGAGCCATCTCTATGCCCATCCGTCCATCCCCAAACTTCACAGGCTCTCTCCTTTAATCCCTATAGCATTGTTTCTCTTTATTTCTTTTGCATGTGAATATCTAGTTGTCTCAGCACCATTTGCTGAAAAGACTATTTATCCCCATTGAACTGTCTTGGCACCCTTGTCAAAAATCAATTGACCATAAATATATGGGTTTATTTCTAGACTTTTGATCTGTTCCATTCATCTAAATGTCTGTTCTTATGCCAGTACCACACAGTCTTGATTTCCAGAGCTTTGTAATAAGCTCTGAAATCAGAAAGTGTCCGTCCTCCAACCTAGATCTCTTTCAAGATTGTTTTGACTATCTGGGTCCCTTATATTTTCATATGAATTTTATGATCAGCTTGCCAATTTCTGCAAAAGAGTGAGCTGGGGTTTTGATAGGGATTGTGTAGAATATGTAGATTGATTGTTTCCTACAAACAGTAGCAGGCTATTGTTTGTCCACACAGAATTCCCAGCACCTAACAGTGCCTAACACAGACTGGGGATATAATAATTGCAGAATGAAAAAAAATTAATTAATAAATGAAGTACACCAAAGCCTCACAGTTCAGAAAAGAGAGAAAGAAAAGCCTAGTAACAATAGTTACAAAAGTCTCACAATTCCCAGGCTTTATTTTTTAAAATTCTAATCATAAAACCAAAGCCAAAACCAAAACAAAACCATGTCAACATATTCTAGATAAATATTTGTTATGACAGAGTACGTTATAACCAAATTCTCTACATAAATGAAAAGCCTAACAAGGGTTAACTGACAGTCCAGGATTTTGATGAAAACTTATCGGTTTTAACAGGAGTTGTAGCAGGAGTTGGCCTGGGTAATATAGGATGAGAGACTGAAGACAGAGTGCACGTGTTCAGCAGAAGCTGCCCCACATCATCAATAGGTTGGAACTGGTGATCTTCGGCTCTTGATATTAAATCTGGGACAGGTGACCAGTTTTTTCTATGAAGCTAAATGCTAAAAGGATTTTGAAGTAGGATAAACTTGCGGCCACAGAAAGGCAAATTCGGTCCAATTGTTTTAGGTGAGTATACTCCATTCCAGAACAGGAATTTTGAAATGATAATATTATGTAACGAGCAGCTCTGTATTCCATCTAGTGAACTGGCTTTATTAGTGATTCCTAACTTTAACTGTCTACCAAATTAACAGCCAACTCTCTCTCTAGCTGGACATTCAGGGCCCATCTGACCTGCCTGGCTGCCCTCCTACTGACCCCAGTGCATACGCTGTGCTCTTATTGCTCCTCAGTCACAGGGCACACTTCCTCATCTCTGTACCTCTGCACATGTTCTTCCTCTAACTGCAAGTCTCCCTTCAGTGCCACCCAATCCCTTCAAAGCCAAAATCAAATAAGAACTCTCCTCATCCCCTCTGGACATGATTACTCACTGCTCTGTCCTCAGGGCACTTTGTGTTTACCTCTCTCGTGGACTTTAACATACTCAATATTGTGTTGTGATTATGTTTGTATTTTATTTATCTTCTCTACCACACAGACCTGGAGGATATGGTCTTTGTCATGATGATCTTTTTTTTCTACATAACTTTTGGGAAAATGGAATAATTTAATCAGGCCTCCTTGCCTTAAGTCCAGTTGGGGGTGGTGCGGCACATTCTTTGTAAATAAGTTGTGTGTGGGTGAAGTTAGTGCATATGCACAGCGCCACCCCTTGGCTGGCGTTGACTGCTTTGGGTATCCGCCCTGTGTGGCCATGCTCTAGAACCTATAGCTCCAAGGATCTTTTTGCTGGTTACCTAGCTCATAAACCTGTGTGTGAGGGGTCTGGTGATCCAGCCTGGCCTGTGAAGGGTTTGTGACCCAGTATGGACAATGGGCTTAGGGGCTCTGTGAGCTTGAGACCTAGCCCTAGCTCAACAGGTGGCGTAGTTGGCAGGATTACGGGCAGGTAAGAGCTTGACAATAACCTAGCATAAGGCTTTGGATGGAGTAGGGCTTAATATATATTTATGTTAAATGAATAAATAAAAAAAAAGAATGAAACATATATGCTAAAATAATCAGATATACTTTATATCCCAATACCAATAGTAATGTATTCATAGAAATAGGTTTAATGTTAAAAACATTTTAATTTGCCTTTTTGATTATGAAATTTTGTTTTCATATGTACCAAAGATGTTCTCCCATAAAGCAAAAATGAACTTAGAGATGAATAAACAGAATGTTTCTTCACTAGTCCACTAGAACACTGGCAAAATATTCTAATACATTACTCTAAATAGTCACATAGAAATCAAGGAAGTAAATAAGTAACAAAGAAAACTGCTAAAAACAGGAAAATAAGCTTTTCAAGAACTTTCTGGGAGTCTTTAATAGTCTACTGTTGAACTTTTAACAAAATAATTTGAACAATTCTAAAAGCTTGATAATAACAACAAATATTAGCTCTCTATAAAGTGGTTAAGTCAAAGTAGTTTATTTCAAATACAGGGACTTCATTATAGAAATGGAATATACCAGATTATTTAGGGAATGTTGTTTGAGAAGAGAGTGTTCTCATGACTAAGTCCAGTGTGTCCTGAATCATCATGTTGTTTCTTTCTATCAGGGAAGGACGTCTCCCAGGTGTTTTCATGTTTTCTTCTGGTTCAAGGGGGAGAAGGGTATGGGGATTGAATAGACATCGAGGCTCCCCCAAGATGCCAACTCTGCGAAAAGAATTATTGGTATAGCTGAAGCAGTGAGGCCAAAGATTGAGGTGCACAGTTGTGGTTGTGTGTGTGCATGTGTGTGAGTATATTAAAGATAAGACTGAAACACACAAACACACACACACAATTTTTTTAAAGCTTTCCCTGTTTCCATGAACCACCATTGTGGTCTTACATATGGGCTAAAAACTCAATCCACAGTAAGATTTTGTACTGGCCTTTCCCACATTTCCCAAAGACAATTCTTAAAATAGGAAACACTTCAGCCTTAAAAAGTTTGTTGCTCATTCCTCCAAACTAGAATGGTTTGGAGTCTAGCATAACTTTCTTGCAATTTTTTCTAGTCTTGAAGGGTGTACCTTGAGATGCTCTGGAAAGGAATCATGGAGAGAGCAGGTGGAGGTAGGAAGAAGGGGAGCTTTCCTCTTGGCTCAACTTTCTAGCAGAGGCATGGTGCCTGGGCCCATACATCTCCGGACCTGACCCAGGAAGTGACACTCATGGCTCTCTTGCCTCCCTCCCTGGGCCACTTACACTGGCATGGGCACAGAGTCCAGACTTTCCATGTGCTTTTGCACCTGGGCTGGAAGTTTGAAGCCTGCTTGATGATACTTTTTCTCAGTGATGTTCTGAGCTTTTTCTCTGAGAGATGGCAGCAGAGTAGATATGACTGGAGAGCGCATGTTAATGGCTTTTTTAATCGCTGGGCGTTTTGCCATCATTCTCCTGTGGGGGGGGGAAAGGTGACATTTAAGCCACACCATCCTGTTTCCTAGAAATGTTCTTGAGCTTAGGAAAGTCCAAAGGTCATACCTGAATTGTACAAAAGTCATGCGTTTCTTTTCCCCCCCTGATTCTTCATCTTCACGCTTCCTTCGAGGAATGTTGAACATATTGGTACGAAAGAGCCTCCCTACTTCTTCCTCAATTTCTGTGAAGTGTTGACGTCGGAAAACAATCCAAGCCACATATGTACAGAAGGTGTAAAAGGACTATAACAGAAAACACACAAGAATCACAATCCCCAGCTATAATATGAAAAACTCCCACCTGCCTATATAACACTGCTAAGTAAACACAAACTCAGATGACCCAGTTTCTCAATGTTCCTAAAAAGCTGTGCAAAATTGTACATGTACTCACCTTTGCAGGAGGAAAATCAGACCACAGATTTAAGGTGTAGCATATAGCTTGTTAGCATCCTTTTGAGAAAAGATATTCACTAAAATTAAGTGCCTGACATATGGCTATTGGTTATTGCTATACATCATGTTTCATTTCAAAGAGAAAAGCCCAAAACATAAGTGACTCACCTCAAAAAATTTCCAATCCTTTTGTGTATCTGATATTTTCTCCCTGCAAAATAATAAATTCCAACTATAGGTCAAGAGGGAAGTTCAGTCTTTCAGTGATCTAGTCCATATCTTCCCCAAAAGGTAGGATCATTACCTGTGGCCCCAAGACCCTTTAGCTACATAAATACTATCAAAAGTCATTGATAAGGAGTCTCAATACCTTCTTCTTTAACTTTCTAGGTTACCCAGATCAAAATCTGTAGAGTGTTTGGTCGAAAGTTAATCAATACAAATTCAGAGTAAATGAGCCAGTGAGGCAATGTATTCTTCCCAGTGCTGCTGGTGATGTGAGTGTTGGGGAGGTAAGGAGAGCGGAAAGGTGGTAAAGAGGCAGTGTGATGTGTTAAGGATGTATGGAAGCACCAAACTAGAGGGCAAGTCTAAAATGAAGGGAAAAAAAAGAAATCTTAAACAATGGTTATGATTATTGAGTGCAAAAAGAAATAGAAACAAATTCGACAAAAGTCTATGCCATGCAAGCAATAGACTGAGAAAAGTAGTGTGCTCCTCCTTCTGACTGAGGTAGATAAACTCGAGCCTTATTTCTTTCTTTTTTTTTTTATTCGAGCCTTATTTCTTATAGGCAGGCATTTGCCCAGCAGTCTTTGCAACAAAAGTTCAATGTTAAGGATACTGTATTGGCACCAGGCACCCTTAGTGAAGTTGGCCTCCTCTGCCAACACAGGTCATTCGATTCTGATTCCCAGCCTTAGGAAAGAAGGCAAAGCCTGGGGAGGCCTTGAGAGTTGGCTGAGGGAGCTATGCACCTGCAGTCACTTGACTATTCATAGGGGCCAAGGCCAGACCCAGAGCACTTAAGGTTGATCCTGGTTTTGCTTCTGCTTTTGCTTGGACTTTCCTTGGAGTAGCTGTGACTTCTAGGATGGGCCTGTTACTGGGCTCTCCAGAACCATCCTCAACTCCCAGTCTAGGGAAGATGACCCAAACCCCTAAGGACCTCCAGCATTCTCACAGGGACATTGTGGTCTGTATGGGCTCAAACTATCCCTCCATTTGGGGGATGAGGCTGAAAGAGGTCGTTAAGCTTTTACTGGGGCTGCTCCCTTCCCTCCTGACTTTCTTTATTATATATTCGTTTCCTCACATGCAAGTCTTAAAGAATTACGCAATAGTAATTACCGAAAACATTTACTAAGTACAGACTATGTGCCAGGTACCACCCTAAGCCCTTTACATGTATTATCATATTTAGTCCTCAGAATATCCCTATGATGTAGTCAGCATTATTATTCTACTTTATACTTGAGGAAACTCAAGTTGAGACTGAAGTCCAATGATAAATGTTTAATTAGGGGCAGATCCTATACTAAAACTCAGGCCTGTCAGATATCCACATCTGTCCTCTTAACCAGAATGCGAGGGAAACAAGCTCATTCTTTAGAATAGTTTGCAGATAAAAATATTGAACAATAGAGTACAACAGGAACTTTCAGGGCAAGCCTCAGTGTTTTTTCTGTGCCACCTGAGGCCTCCACCTAACAGGTGGGCTTTTAAGGAATTTCTGCCCTTCCAAGACCTCTGCCAGCTGAAACCAGAGACCATCCAGACCCACCAAGCTGAAGCAGAAAACCAACTAAGCTCTGTTTTTGGAATACCAAGTCAGTTTGCATTCTGGGAGAAGGTTTAGAGCAGAACTCAGGTTAGCACAACCCAAACCAGCACCATCTTAGGAAGGTTTTGAAATGAGAGATTGCCCAGGAAACACACTTTTCCTTCTTTTCTTTCTTCTTTTTTTAGATATTAGAAAAGAAGGTAACATGAACCTCTTCCACCTTTCAAGTTGCCATAAACACTGAAACTTTCTTTCTTAAAGCCCTAAGCAAACTGATGTAGCCTGCACTGCAGAAATTAAGTACAGAATGTTGTGGGTTTCTTCCTTCCGTTCTGATTTAGCTCTGCATAGGTAATGGAAATGAGTCCAGGAAACGGATGCAGAGAATAAGTATTTGGGGACCTCCTAGTTTAAATCTCTGCTAATTCATCTCTTGCTGGTGAATTTTGAGTCACTTTTCTTTCCTTCTTTTTTGAATTATATAATGTTTATATTAAGTAGATAATACTTCAAATAAATTGATTATAAATTTAGAAATTTACTAATTAAAATAACAAAATTGAAGCCCAAAATATCCTCTGCAAATTGAAACAGGGTTTATAACACAGTCTGACAGAAATATAATGCAATGTAATTTTAAATTTTCTAGTAGCCACAGTAATAAGAAACAGGTGAAGTTAATTTTAGTAATAAACTTATTTTATCCAACCCCCCCAAATATCATTTCTATAATCAATAGTTTTAAATTATTGAGATATTTTATGAATTTATTTTTATTTTTTTTTAGTTTTACTTCTCAATATACATTGTAGTTGATTTTCATGCCCCTTTACCCGCTCCTCTCCACCACCCCCCCCACATCATATCTGTTCACTTGACTTAAATAGTTCAAGAAATTTTTGTGGTTATTTTCTTCTCCCCCCCCAAAGATATTTTATGAATTTTAAAACTTTTTTTGTACAGTGGTATTTTACACTTAACAGCATGTTTCAATTTGTACTAGCCACATTTCAAGTACTCAATAGCCACATGTGGCAAGTGGCCCCCAATGCTCGTCAGCAAAGACACTGTACATTCCACATTTCAGGACACAATCCAAAGGAAAGAGGGGAAAGCCAGCCTGGTGGTAAATCCAGAGATTTTTAGTGACCTGTTATGATGCTTTCTTCTGCATTCTGCACACCCCCCCCCCCCCCCACATCATATCTGTTCACTTGACTTAAATAGTTCAAGAAATTTTTGTGGTTATTTTCTTCTCCCCCCCCAAAGATATTTTATGAATTTTAAAACTTTTTTTGTACAGTGGTATTTTACACTTAACAGCATGTTTCAATTTGTACTAGCCACATTTCAAGTACTCAATAGCCACATGTGGCAAGTGGCCCCCAATGCTCGTCAGCAAAGACACTGTACATTCCACATTTCAGGACACAATCCAAAGGAAAGAGGGGAAAGCCAGCCTGGTGGTAAATCCAGAGATTTTTAGTGACCTGTTATGATGCTTTCTTCTGCATTCTGCACACCTGGAGAGTGAGCACCATATGGACACTGCCAAGGTTTATGGTTTGCACCCTCCAGAGTGGTGGCCTGAGCTACACCTGGGTCTGCTTGAGCCACAGCTAGAGCAACTGAGGAGTGCTACTCCAGGATGTGAAGAACAGACACTTGAGGAGGCACAGGGCAGCAAATACTGAGGTACCACAGGGGCACCTCTCTGAGACCTTACCCTCAGGGTTCTGCTCTGGGCCTGTAATGGAAGGGGCAGCCTCGGAGATCTGTGAAATGCCTTTGGGGTTTTTCTCCCATAGTCTTGATGAATAGCACCTGGCTCCCTTCTATCCATGGTAATCTCTTTAACAAGTGGGTCACTTGGCTACAACCTTGCTTTTTTTCTCCTAGGCTTATCTTCTCACTCATTATATGTCAGGCTGCAAATTATTCAAATCTTTCTGCTCTGCTTCCCTTTTAGTTATAAATTCCATCTTTAAATAATCTCTCTGCTCGTACCTTAACAGCATGCAGTTAAAAGCAGCCACATAGCTCCTTCAATATTTTGCTTAGAAATTTCTTCCACCAGATATCTTAGTTAATTGCTCTTAAATTCTACCTTCCATAAAGCCCTTGGGCATGGACACAATGCAGCAAAGTTCCTTGTGACTTTGTAACAAGGAAGACCTTTACTCCGGTTTCCAATACGTTGTTCCTCATTTTCATCTAAGACCTCATCAGAATGGCCTTTACTGTCCGTATTTCTACTAACATTATGGTCATGAACACTTAAGTAATCCCTTAGAAGATTTAGGCTCTCCCTGCATCTCTCGTCTTCTGAGCCCTCACCAGAATTGCCCTTAACACTCCTTTCACAGTAATCTGGCTTTATTAGCTTATTCCTCCAAATTCTTCCAGTTTCTACCTATTACCCAGTTCCAAAACCACTTCCATATTTTCAGGTATTTGTTATAGCAACAGCCCCACTCCCAGTACCAGTTTTCTGTCTTAGTTTGTTTTGTGTTGCCATATAGCAGAATTCCACAGACTGGGTAATTTATAAAGAAATTTATTTCTCACAGTTCTGGAGGCTGGGAAGTCCAGTTTCAAGGTACCAGCATGTTGAGGGCCTCTTGTTCATCATCCCTTGGTAGATGGCAACAAGCAAGAAAGTGCAGAGAGGGAGAAGCAAGAGGAAGAGGGCCAAACTCACCCTTTTGTCAGAAACTCACTCCCGCAATAACTCACTCACTCCAACTATAACAGCATTAACCATTCATGACCACAAAACTTAAAGATGCTCTGATGTTAGATGTGTTAGCTCAGGTCCTCTGAGAAGCAGACGCCAAGACAGAACAACATGTTTTGCAGCTTTATTGGAGAAAATGACTATTACAGAAAATGAGGAGAGAGCTGGAGAAAGCAAGGAGAGCCATCACACCTCCTTGCAGGTGTGACCCCTATGAGAGAAGAAAGACAGGAAGGACTGGGTAGGAAGAGTCTCAGACTGTAGCACAGCTCTAGGAAAGTTTCGTCTAGGCTAAAGGGGAGTCCTCGAGCCAAAGCCACTTGTCAGAGGAGTTTCATATCTGGTTGGAATGGGCCTGCTGCACTTAGACGTTGGCTGGAGACAGTCCATGGGGAGTATGGTGCAATGGACTGAATGTTTGTATTCACTCACAATTCATATGTTGAAATCCTAACCCACAATGTGATGGTATTAGGAGGTGAGGCCTTCAGGAGTAATTAGGTCATGAAGGTAGAGCCCTTATGTATGGGATTAGTGCTCCTAGAAAAGGGACCCAGGGAGCTCTCTCTAGCCCTCTTTCTGCCATGTGAGGATACAATGAGAAGTTGGCAGTCTGCAACCTGGAAGAGGGCCCTCACCAGAACCTGACCATGCTGGTACCCTGATCTTAAACTTCCAGCCTCCAGAACTGTTAGAAATATATCTCTGTTCTTTACAAGCCAACCAGTATATGGTACTTTGTTATAGCAGCCCAAACTAAGACACGTGGCCTCAATGCAAACCTGGTGGTGGATCCAGAGTGCAGCAGTTCAGGCTATTCCTCAATTAAACTCCCTACAGTAGGAGATCTGAGTGGCACGTTTTCATGGTGCCACACTGGAAGATATAGCCAAACTTGTCCACTCTATAAAAGAACTGAACACAGTAGCAAAAACTTGAAAGAGCAGAACTGATGTAGTAGAATAAAGAATGAATGTTGCTAGGGATGCATTAAGAGGGTATTCCCAAATCATGGTAAATCACACACGTGGTGAATTACATAGATGGTGGACCTGGGAATTGATCAAGTATATCCACCACTGTGGAAACAGGGGCACAAGATAAGAGAAATGCCCAACAATGCCAAGACATCACTAAAAAAATCTGTTGTACTGGTGGGAAATCTTTGGTTTCCTGACTTGATGACTCCTTCACTACTAGCCTATACACTCTTGAAGCCTGTATTTTTCTTGTACCCTAGCACTTTGGCACTATGACTACCACAGAGCAGGCACTCAATGTGTGCAGAATAAATCAAAGCAAAATATAAACTGTATAGTTCTGTGTTTAAAGCAGAAAAACTGGTCAATAAAGTTCAATAGGAATTCCCCAGATTGGGTTAAAATATTAGAAAAATAACAACATCTAATAAACAAGAAATGTTACAGTAGAGAAAAAAATCACAAATAAATATTACTGAAAAGCTAAATACTAGTAAAGAAAAAATGCCTTAGATTCATAGCTCATCTAACATGTTGTAACACATTTCAAATGGATCAAAGATTAGCATTTTTTTTAAATCCTGTTTTTAAAAACTAAGAAAGAAAGATAGTTTAACCCAGGAATGCAAGAACTTTTACACAACTATTGAATAGCATCAGAAACAAGATGGACATGATCAAATAAATAAAAATTTAAATCATTTTTCTAATGTGTAAAAACATTAATATCAAAGAGAGAGAAACACACCAGAAAAAAAAAAAGGCCAATCCTTGCTATGGGATTTTTTAAAAAAAATTTTTTTCCTTGCTATGGGATATTAAAAAATTATACAAATTCCCAGTTTCCACTTGGTAATTGGTTAAAACTAAATGAACAGGTAATAAATTATTTTACACAGAAGAACAACACAGACTCGACAATTCTAAAAGATATTCAAAGTCAAATAAAACATCTTTAAATTTATATACACCATTAAACTATCAAAAATATTAAGGTAATAAAATCTAATACTTTATTGTGGATGGTAATACAAAATGTTTTAAACTTTTTTGGAGAATGATCTGGCAATATTGTTCAGAAACATTATAAAACAGAAAAACTGAAACCACACAAATGTACACAAAAAGAATGGTTAATCAAATAGGTATATTACACAACAAATAACTATAGCTGTGATTCAAAGTGGTAAGTGAAATTATGTAAGCAGAATAATACAAGGAAGTACATAGGAAATGTATACTACCAAAAAAATATATATGAACAACTGTGTAAGTATGCTCATTCACAAAGCTGATCTTTGAAAATGTGGGGAATGTAGAAAGATGCATCATGTACTGGCTTCTTTTCCTATCGAGTTTAAAAAGAAGTTCTGGCTGTGACCATGGTGTGGATGTTGCCCCTGTTGTGAAACTACTCAGAGGAGATTTTGGGTTTTAGGACTGAAGCTTTCCAACCTGTGATCCCAAACTTTCCTGTAATGAGACTCCTTTTTAAATTTTAATTACAGTAGTGTGGAAATTATCATCCTAGGTAAAAATTATCTTCCCACAACAGTCATCTTATAACCCCCACCTCAGCTGCTCGTACTCAACAGCTGTTGCTGCAAAAGCAATGACAGGGCAGGAAGACAGCCAGTTCCCCTGCAGTGCTTGCTAGTCCATCACTCGTCCTCTGCCCTAGGCAGCCAAATGGCCCTTGTCTGGCAGCAGCAATCCTTTCTGGTTGAGGGCAAGATTCCACTGAGAGACCAAGTCATTTAACCCCAAGCAGTTTTTAAGTATCAGCTGAGATTCTGGGATTCCTTCAATACTCACTTGGCTCTCTCAAAGGAGACATCAAAAGTGTTTGGGACAGATTCTCACCTGAGCCCAATTATTCTGGACAATAAACCACTTTCTCAAGGGTACCAAAAGTCAAATAGAAGCAACTGTGGCTGTGGCTATACAAACAAGTGATGATCTGATGGAATCTTAAATGAATGCTTACTTTCCACAACACATGTGATGTTTATCAGGCATGCCCAAGCCCAGCACAAGGACACAATACTGCTGCGCCAAGTATGTCTGTGCTGCTTCTAACTTACTCAAAACCAATTCCATCTCTTTCTTCTCTACAAGACCCCTGGGGGAGGAAAAAAGACAATTTGGATTAATTTTAGAAAATGCCTATATTTATTAGCAAAAAGTCAAGAATTATAAACTATTTTGAAAGAAATACAAGTGAGTCAACACACTTCACTTACCAATTAATACAGCTGTGGCATAGGGAAATCCTCAAAGTTCCTTGATATTTAATCACTGGAATCAACATCTCAAGTTTATGGTAAATTTTCACTTTTTTGTAAATCCTTTATACTTTCTGCTATGTATCCTCAATTTTATATACAGGTAGCCCTACTTTATATAGAACAGCTCAACTAACAAATGATCTACACTGGTTGCTGAGGTAGCTAATGGCCCATGGAGACTGCCACCTCATCTTCCCCTGGGTTCTCAGTGTTAACTAGTAAGCTTGGGGGCTCAATGTTTGAAAGTAGGCCTACTCTTAGTTCTGAGTTTAGTTGTGTTTGCTAAGGAGGTATTTGTGGGTTACTTACTCTGTGAATGTTGGCATCAATTATAATAACATTGTTTCCCTGTGAAAACACAGCCCCAATTCCAATTGAATTGTAAATGAAGTTTCTAAAAGACAACCTATTCTTAGGTTACAGCTTGTCTGAAGCCTAATGTTTAAAGTATTTGCACTACAATATAATAGTAAACAACATTGCTGACAACACATTCCAATGTACTGTTATTGAAAAGTGAAGTGTCACTAGATAGGAAATGAAACACACTCTAAACAGGGACAAATTACTGCCCCTTCTGATGTCAACCACTAGACTGACAACATGATATGAGGGGTAGTTTAAGGATAATACAGCTATTTCAAAGTACCAATCAATAATTTTAAGGCTTGGACTGGTTTAGTTTTTGTCATTCTGTAATTGATTCCTTCTAAAAAACAGTCTACCTTATACAACACTGTGTTCAGTAAGTTTTAGTGCATTTTTACAATTACTAAGAAACCTTTTTCCTCTGTTATCTATTCCTATAAATTAAGAAATAAAACAAATCTCTTGGCTAGATTAGCAATAAGCCTCAGAATTAGAAAAGAAAATACCATACAAAATATCATAAGCTAAAGTGCCACCAAAGTCTAATTTTTATTTGGGAATAGTAAGAATCCTCAAACCTTCTAAGCCCATAGCTGACTTTAGCCTTTTTGCTTGCTACCATAGAAACACGTCATGCTCTGGCCACCCTGAAATAACACTGACGTTTCATATTATGATGGCTTTAAAGGAGCAGCAGTGTTTGAATTATTTATTTGGTTCTTTACAAAACTGCTGTCCAGATATATTTATCTATCCATAAAATGTTTTTTAAACTACTTGACTGTATACAAGGGTTTTGCATTTTGAAAACATTCTGCAACAAGTTAATGACACTACCCAGCATTCCTAACAGCTAAATCATTGGGTTAGTTCCACATATACTGAGAAGGGAAGGCTGGGCACTTGGAAAGTTCCATGGCTTGTAAAAGGTCACCACGCCTGAGAGGCATTGTTCTGTTCTGGACTCTGAGTTCCCAGATTCTTGCCCTGGGTGTATATCTCTGAGCCACCTCTGCCTGAAGCAGTTAAATTCTTTGTAAGTAGCCTAAGAAATCTATGGTGTTTTCCTGTGATGTGGAATGTCATTGTGGCCAAATCTGTTAATTTCTTAAATTCTTAGGTTTTTTTTTTTTTTTTTTCCTTTTTGTCTTTTTTAACTGACCGGTAACGGGATCGCAACGCTCAGTGTCGCGCCCGTACCGGGGACCAGCAACAGGATCGCAACCCTTGGTGTTGTGCCCGCACCGCGCTCAGCCAGTGAGCGGGAACCGGTCTCCACATGGGATCCGAACCCTCGGCGGGAGCGGCGGCGCACTCTCCAGTGCGCCACCAGGCTGGCCCAGGGTTTTTTAATTAGATGCTTACAAACCTCTTAGCAAGAACTTTGTGAGCAGAAAAAACATACAAACATCTGTATCTGCACTGTTCATATGGCAACCAGTAGCCACTGTGGCTACTGAGCACTTAATGTGGCTAGTCTGAATTGAGATATGTTGCAATATAAAATAGGCAGCAGATTTCAAAGATTTGCTGCAAAAAAAGTAAAATATCTCATTAATAACTTCCTAATATTGACTACATGTTACTGGGTTAAATAAAATATGCAATTAAAATTAGTTTTACCTTTTTACATTTTTAAGATATGATACTAGAAAATTTAAAATCACATATATGGCTTTCATTATTGGCTACTGGACAGTGATGGTCTATATTAGTTAGAATATTTTGTTACTGCAATACCCAAATGAATTATTCAGTAAGTTTAAAGCTGGCAAACTCCTCCCATGTAAAATATCTTAGTGCACCTCAAAATTAAAAAATTTCCATCATCTCTTTACCCTAGAAAAAAGTTAGTTTTAATACTGGCAGTGATAAAACTCTAAAGCACACTACAACATCTTACTTACACCATATAGCTTTTGGGTTTCTTTTCCAAAGAGTTTTTTTCCAAGTAATGAGATAAATAGTACAATAATGCCATGAGGAAATTGTCAAGATTCTTATTCCTAAGGAGAGATTTGGGAAAAAAAGAAAAGAAATCAACACTAACTTATTTCAAATACATTTTCTCATAAAAAATATGAGCACACAAATAAGAATAAGTAGAAATACATGTTATCAGGCCTATCACGCAATTAATTTACCATTTAAAATTCCATCTACTATACTGATGAAGACATAAAAAATCTGATTTTTGTAAATAATACTTTTGGGGAGGCCAGACACTAAATTCTTATAGTTTTGATTATGAATTTTCATTTTTAAAAAGTTATTATTATACAAGAAATATATTTCCATTGTTCAAAAAACGTACAGAAATGTCTCAAGTAAGAAGTTCTCTCCTCCCATCCCCTTGTCACCGTTCTATTCCCTAGTGGTAGCCGCTATTAAGAGTTTGGTATGAATCCTTCTTAAACTTTCTAAAGCATAAACAATAACATATAACATCTTCCCTCACCAACATATATATACATGCCTTAAATTTTTTTTCTGGTAATAAATGGGTAAAGGCTGTATACACATTTCTTCGCATCTTGCTTTTGTCGCTTATCTGTGTAGCACGGATCTCTTTCTGTGATACTATATATAGATTTTCCTCATTCTTTTAAACAGCTGAATAGAGTATTCTATACCTCATAGTTTAACTAGTCCTCTGTTGATGGATATTTAGGTCTTTTAATAATATTATAGACAGAAGTGAAATTGCTAGGACACAGTGTATGTGCATATTAAATTTTCATATGTCTTGCTCTCCAAAAATACTGCTCTGAGTTACAATGCTATCCCATTTGTTTTTAATTAGAAGTCATTACTTTCTTTCTAAATATCTTACAAGGCTTCTGTTGCCTTCTCTGTAGCCCTAAACAGAAATTCTTACTCTGGCATGCCTTCTTTAAATACACCTCAAAGTCATTACTTTCTTTCTAAATATCTTACAAGGCTTCTGTTGCCTTCTCTGTAGCCCTAAATAGAAATTCTTACTCTGGCATGCCTTCTTTAAATACACCTCACAGGATAAGGTGACCATTACAGATTTTTTTTTTTTCTCAAGATATTAATAATTACCTCTCTCAGGGTGGGTTCCCCCAGAAACAGACCCTGAGACAGATTTGAGAGTAAGTAGTTTATAGAGGAAGTGATCCAGGAAACATTAATAGGAGAGCTGGGGAAATGAGACAGGAAAGGGAAGAAAGCCAACACAGGGGGTGTTCACAAGTCATCACTGTGGACAGATGTATTTCAGTCCTACAGGGACTCTGGGGGACAGTGTAGAAAGCATCTTGGAGTTATCCCAGCAGATGGAAGCTGGTCTGTTTATCTACCAATTCCCTCCCGGCAGTGCTCCTAGCTTGCCTGTAGTCAGGCTGGGTGTGCTTCTGTGGTGGAATTAAGCCTTCAGGCAGAGAGACTTGCAAGTGTGCGCCATAAGCAGCTTTCATGGGNGTGGAATTAAGCCTTCAGGCAGAGAGACTTGCAAGTGTGCGCCATAAGCAGCTTTCATGGGTATTTGAGAGGGGTGCCAATAGTTTGGGTACCCAACTCTCACCGAGCACTCACAAGTGCAGATTCTATGTGAAACACAGCCACACACGGTGGAATTAAGCCTTCAGGCAGAGAGACTTGCAAGTGTGCGCCATAAGCAGCTTTCATGGGGATTTGAGAGGGGTGCCAATAGTTTGGGTACCCAACTCTCACCGAGCACTCACAAGTGCAGATTCTATGTGAAACACAGCCACACATGGTGATATAAAGGAGGCACTATTAATACCCAATTTTGTAGCTGAGGAAACTGAGGCTTAGAAAGGTCAAGAAACTTGCCTAGAGTCACACACCTAGTACTTGTTGGGGCTGCCAAATGTAACTAGTGCAGAAAACTGACCTCTAGTAAGTGGGTTTATCCTTTAGCTGTTATATAAAAATATATGCTGTCCATATGGGACTCTGACAACATACTCTTCATAACCCTTGCCCTGGGACTTTATCTAGGGCTCCCGTGACTTCTGGCTTTCTCTCCCAGACTCTTTGGTCTCAGTCTTTGAGGCTGAGTCCTGAGGTTGGCTTGCATAGAGCCAGCCTTATGCTCTTTCTCTAAAAATCAGATTTGTCATCCCTTATCAGATGGAATTACTGAAAAATAAAGGATAAAAGATCTAAAATGTCTCACAAGCATTACATACCTCATAAATGTTGTAAAAGAACAGATCCGCTGCATCTCAGTATCTTGAAGCAAAAGCAAAGCAACAACTGAAAGGAGAAAGATTGGACAATTGAACAAGGGACAAAAAGCTGCCTTGGCGGTCACAGCAGATGACACATAAGGACAAGGAAGCAGTTGCTCACATTTAACATCATCCAGTGTAACGTTGCCCTGCTGACCTCGTTTCTCTAAGGCTTTAGTTGACTTATCATCTCTTGTAGCAGACCTTTTATCTGTCAACCTGTTTTTGGAATATAACAGTTTGTAATAGAGTTTTAAAAGGTTCTGGTTGTAATTAATCTATGCTGAGGTACATGAAACATTTACTATAAAGTAATGAGAGCCTGAATGTCATGTGTGGGTGTGTTTAATGTAAGATCATTTTGGAATGTATTTTTTTAAACATTATATTTACTATATTGGGGGAGGGAGGAATGCATACTGCCTGAAATTTGTATGTAAATACAAATTTCATACAAAATAGGTCATTTAAATCACCTATTTCTGGTGTAGCTACCATTTTCAGATTTTTAAAAAAACTATAAAAAGTTGAAAACTTGCTAGTAGCCAAGTTATCACAGGGATTCATTTATGGGGACTATTATAACTCCCACCATATCTCTGAAATAGTACATGCTGTTTCCTTAATGGATGTTTGCATTTCAACCTAGGACAATGGAAATGGTATCTTCCTTGAGTTTGTAAAGGCTTAAGCCATGCCACTGAGAGGTGCCATCAGCAACACTAGCATGATTGAGCTACCTGTCTGAAGCTGGGCCATCAACTTCAGCAAAGTGAACTGCTTTGCCTTTCTTTCCTTTTTCCTTGAGCTCTACTGAAGATGTAAAACTGCAATAGAAATGAGATAATTAGGAACTTAACCTTTTCCTGGGGGAAAACTAATCCTATCATAACCATAGCTCATGTAACCTTAGGACTAGCATAAATTATGAGTGAAAGCTGAAGAAAATTTGAAGCACAGCAGTGTTCAATTCATGTATTTAAATGGAACAATGATCTAGAGAAAGATGAAAACTTTAGTCTTTATATTCAGCCTCTAACCATCAGCAGCCTCCAGAATACCACCATATACAAAACATTTCTATCTAAAAACTCAGTCACTTCACAAGAAACAGAAAGCTCATGAGAGGTTTGGTTTGATTGAGTACTTATTATGTGCCAAGTGCTTTTAAGCATGATCTCATTTAATCCTCATAGCAGCTCTATGAGGTTAATATTACTATTATCACCATTTTTACATATGAGAAAAATTGAAGCTTAGAAAGAGATTAAGTAACTTGACCAAGATCACATAGCAAGTGGAAAAGCCAGGGTTGGTGCCCAGGGTCTCTTAGCCACCAGGCAATCCTGCCTCCCAACCAGCCATCTCAGTATTCCCTGCTGTGGACTCTTCTAAAGGCCTTAACTATCTCTAGGAAGGTTTCAGGACCCATTATTTAACTCAGGGTTTCTTGGCATGTTGTGCAAGCACTACTAAGCAATAATGGGTTTAACGAGGAACCACAATTAAGAAACAAATATACACTGAGGCCATACTATGTGTCAGGAATTGCTGTGACATCGAAAATCAGATGGTGTCTGGTTAGAGCCAATGCACAGATTCTCAGGAGTATCAGCAAATGCTATGAGAAAAACAGAGAAAAGGATTCCTAAAGACCATCAGGATTTGGTTCCCGCCTCACAGAGAATGAATTTTCTGGGAGAAATATGGTATCTGCCAAATATCAGTTTGGTAGCCCATGTGGGTTATGGCTTTTATTTTTGTGCCTGAAACAATGCCCCACTGATGACAACACAACCCAAAAGTTTAACCTCTGCCCAGTGTTATGTGTCTCTCTGTTAAGTGTAGATGTAGTAATAGAAGCACTTTCCCCTCAACTTTAGTCATTCTCTAAAGATAGATATCAGTCTTGTAGACCTTTATTATCTCATTGTTAAATCCCACAAAGAAATTATTTTAGAGAAATACCTCCCATGGGAGTAATAACATTAGTTAGTTTGGTACTTCTTCCAAAGGTTTTTGCCAGCCTCCTGGCAATATTCATGTTGTGTAATAGGTTAGCTCCTAACAGCAGGTACATGATATCACCTCAAGGGAATGATTTTTTTGTATTTTTCCACCTTTTTTCCTTTTTTGTCTTTTTTTACTGACCGGTAACGGGATCGCAACCCTCGGTGTCGCACCCGTACCGGGGACCGGCAACGGGATCGCAACCCTCGGTGTTGTGCCCGCACCGCGCTCAGCCAGTGAGCGGGAACCGGTCTCCACATGGGATCCGAACCCTCGGCGGGAGCGCCACTGCGCTCCCAAGCGGCGCACTCTCCAGTGCACCACCGGGCTGACCCGACCTTTTTTTTTTTTTTTAAGACCATATGTGCCAAGTTAGCCAGCAGATGATTTCTAAGTTTTTCATTCTTCTTGGTGCTCCTCTTATCATTGGTCTCCAAGGATTTGGTATTTATGGGGGAGCCTGTGCTAAAATACTGGGGGTGGGGATGGGCAAGATAAAGGAAATGGAAGGATAACAAATGTTGATAGTAGCTACCTCCAAAAAGGGGTGGGGGATCAGATGGGGAAGAGTGGTGAGATGGAGGTAAGAGATCTGTATTCCACATTCGTATATTTCTGCAGTATTTGAATTTTTTTTTTTTCCTTTTTGTCTTTTTTTCGTGACCGGCAACGGATCGCAACCCTCAGTGTCGCGCCCGTACCGGACCGGGACCGGCAACGGGATCGCAACCCTAGGTGTTGCCCCCACATCTCGCTCAGCCAGTGAGCGGGAACCGGTCTGTATGTGGGATCCGAACACTCGGCGGGAGCGCTGCCGCGCTTCCCAAGCGGTGCACTGTAGCAGTGCGCCACCGGGCCGGCCCCAATATTTGAATTTTTTATAATAAGAATGTATTGATTCATTACCTCCATAATTAAAAAAAGAAAAGCAAAAAAAGCTGTTAGAGATATATAGGAAGAAATACTATGTGGCTGGGTACCTTGTATTGACAGATCATTTAGATAGCCTCTAACAAAATGCTCAAATCCCCCAAACATTCAGACATTTTCTAATGGCTCTTTGGAGTCCATTCTGTTTGCTGGATGTCCAATGCACAGATTTTTACCTCATGTAATAATCTAATAATCTTAACACAGCCATCCTAAACAAGAATACAAAGTTGTCTTCAGGTTATTCCTTGGACCATCACAGTGTTTTGGCCACTTACAAGCCATTGGTCATTACTTTCCTAACATGCTAAAGAAGTCTCAGGTCTTCCCGCTCTCTGCAGGGTTTCTCTTCTCAAGAAGATGAGAGAAGACAGAAACACCTGATCTAAGTTAATGTCAAAGGAAATTGTGTCTCCCACCCTTTTCTCAGTTCCATCCCTATAATTCAAAGTTTCTTACTATAATAGTTTGCCTGAGATGAGAAAGCCTTAAAATAAGGAATTTGAAAGGATACATTTGGGACTACCTAATAAATCAGGTCTATGAACTAAGTTAAGTGAACCTGGAGTTATAAAATCATAGAATTTTGGGGTTAGAGAACATCTAATAGGTCATTGAGTATAAGGTTGTCATTTTACTGATGGAGAACTAAGGCTTGGAGAGGCTGACCCACGTCCCAGTGGTTGAAATTGGTGGTGGGCAGTGCCTGCCCTTAGCCAATAGTCTGGCATTTACTGACAAACTTCTAGACCTTATTCCCTGATCTCTGGACATGCCTTCTCTACTGCATGCTTGTTTGAGTGGTTTTCACTTGACTGAAGGCATTCTCTAGCTCAGCTGGTAAGACGGCTTTCACTCTGTCAATGCCTTGCCATAGCTTTAAAGGTAGCCTATGCTCATAGTGCATTTGGAATCACTAAGAAGCAACATTAGTAATAACTGAAAATTATTGATGACTGGATAAGGAAATTGTGGTATATATACACAATGGAATACTACTCAGCTATAAAAAAGAATGAAATTCTACCATTTGTGACAATCTGAATGAGCCTAGAGAAAATTATCCTAAGTGAAACAACCCAGGTACAGAAAGAAAAATACTGCATGTTCTCACTCATAACTGGGAGCTGAATCCATAAATAATCAAATGAACAATAAAGAGAGACACAGAGAGAAAGAAAGAAACAACAATCACAGTAACATGTTGAACTTTTAGAAAACTAGAGGTGGAAAAGGGAGGGGAGGGAGAGAATGAGGGGGCTAATGAGGAATTGGTCAATGGACACAAAGAATGATTGCATATTGTAATGATGAATAAGCTAACTGTACTGACCTAACCACCACACATTCCACAAAATTACTGAAAGTCAACGTTGTACCCGTGTATGTATAATAAAAAAAAAAAAGAAAGAAAATTGTCGTTTTAACTGCACCTCTGATTGTTTCCAAACCACAGTCTGGGCAACTTTCTACCCTCCTACAGTCTCCAGTCTTTCCCTCAATCTGGCAACCCATTTAGAATCTGGTCCTTTCACAGACAGCATTTTGTTGATGTGCTTTCCTAATGACAACCTATCATGTCATTCCCCTTTGCCCTGAAATAAACAAGAAAAAAATTCATGTTTTCCCTCTAGAACTCATCATTTAAATGTAAAGGGCTGGACTACTCTTGGCTTCCACACAATTTAGAGCTCTTCAGTGGTTATCAGAGAGTCTTCTCTTAGGCCAAGATGAAACTTTGGAGTTTCTAGATATATAGCGTTTCCTTGGCTTTATGTCCTCAGGGGAGTTTCTGGCACTATGTCAGAGAGAAAAGCATGCCTGGTGGGCCAACCTAGATGTAACCTGTGAATAAAGGCATTCTATCTTTAAAAATAAGAAAGAAGTGGGCGTGCAAGCTGACGAACTATGCTAAACCCTCATTCACTACTCACAAAGCATTATTATTTCATTGTATAGACAAGAGAACTAAGAATTATCTAGGCTAAGTAACTTGACGAACAATAACCACCTGACAAGTGGCAGAGGTAGGATTTAACCCAGGTCTCCCTTCAAACCATTCTCCACTGTCTTCCTTAACTTCTGATGGCAATGGGTTATCAGAACCTATTAACATTAGTGTCACTGAAGTTGGTATACAACCTCCACTGCTAAATTTGACTGGCTTAAAAAAAAAAAAAGACATAATAGGTACCTTTCCCTGCCCATTACTCTGCCCATTTCTTGCATAGAGGTTATGGGTATCATGTTGTATTCTAATACAGTTATCCCACTCAGGGTATAATGCGCAAAGGTAAGGCAAGACTCACCTTAACAGGGAGCCCTAGCTCCTACCCTTCCTGAAGGGTAAGGTTTCCTGTGTCATTCACCCAGAAAAGATGCCAGGAACTGCAAGCTGGTGAAGGGGAAAGGGAATCACCTTCTCTTAATCTGAACCTGAAAATACCTGGAAGTCTATGGACTCCTCTTGGCTGTGGCTATAAAAATTGGCCTACCTGATGTGGAGGAAGACTAAAACCCTGAAAGAACTTTCAGGGTCTTAAGTTGATGGGATAGAACTTGAATGCCTCTCAGATCAAGCTGTTACTTTGCAAACCAGATTATCTGGATTCATGACACTCCATTTCCCTTCCCTCTCTTTGGCAGCAATTTCTTGGTCTCTTTCAAAAGCTCCTTTTAGAAGGCATTTTCCTTAAATGAGGGCCTTTCTCAGAGTTCCATCTGGTTGTTCTTCTCATTTCCTCTAAGTAATTTCATCTACTTGACTAACACTAATAAGTCACAAATTTATATTTAAGGCTCAGATCTTTCTGCAGACTTATAAACTGACACCTCTACGTGCTGGACACCTTCACCTGGGCATCCTACAGGTACCTCAAACTCGGTACATACCTGTATTCCCTTCTCCTGTTTCCCCCATCTCAGCAAATGGGAACCACCATCCATCCAGGTGCCCAAGCCAGAAAATGGTGTCATCCTTGATTCCTCCACCTCCCTTTGCCCTCACGGCCCGCTAATCACTAAGTTCTTTAATATCTCTTGTATCTGTCTACTTTCTTTCTCTTTCCAATGCTACCACCTTAATTTTAGCAACTATTAACTGTCAACTGAATTTGTGCAATTGCTTTTTATCTGATTCTCCTTGCCTCTAGTCTTGTCTCCCTCCAAACTATTTTCCATGCTTCAGCTGGTCATTTTTTTAAAGATGCAGTTCTAATCACAGCTTACACAGCTCCACCACAAAAGAGAAATCAAATCAAGCCTGAGAGACATATCCATGTAACCATGTTATAGCAACCTTGAACACGTCACTGGTTTTCTTTTTATTCTGTACACAGGAGAAGAACAATCCCAGCCACTCAATCACCCATCAGACACCTAGGAGTCAACCTAGACCCCTACTTCTCCCTCTCCCTTCACATCCAGGCACCACCACTTTACCATTCTATCTGAACATCCTGTCAATTCCAGCTCTTATTTCTTTTTTTTTGTGTGTGTGTGTGTGACCGGTAAGGGGATATTTTTGTGTGTGTGTGTGTGTGTGACCGGTAAGGGGATCGTAACCCTTGGCTTGGTGTCGCCTGCACCGCACTCAGCCAGTAAGCGCACCGGCCATCCCTATATAGGATCCGAACCCACGGCCTCCACGCTCCCAGCGCAGCACTCTCCTGAGTGAGCCACAGGGTTGGCCTTCCAGCTCTTATTTCTTAGTCCTTCCTCCTCCTCTGTGTTTTTACCAACATAGAATTAATTCTGACTCTCACTTGTATAATTATCTGTAATCCTCCTACGAGCCTTCAAATTGGTGCCCTTCCTGTAGTCCTCCTCTGCTTGAATCAAGCTGGTTTACAAAACACGCTCAATAAATATTTGTTGAGCACCTACTTTGTGAAGTTCTGTAGATGGCTCCAGGGACATGAAGATAAGACAATTCCTGACATTGAGGGGCTGATGGTCTAGTTGAGGGAGACAGTGTATACAATGCAAAGGGCTTTGGCATCAGACAAATCTTGGTTCAAACTGTCAGTTCTGCTTCTTCCTGGCTATATAACTTTGGTTCAGTTGTTTAATCTACCTGAGCTTTGTTTCTTCCTCTATAAAATGAGGATATTACTGCTCACTTTCCACAGCTGTTGTAAGAATTAGAAAAATATGCAAATGTCTGGCACATAATAGGTGCACAACAGAGAGCAGATAGTATTATTAATTCAAGTATACACTTAATAGTCAGCACTTTCTCAATGGAGAATAAAATTAGTTTTTTTCTAATCTAATAATTCCACCTTGTAAAATTTACCATCTATTGCAGCAGGTGTAATATGGTCCCATTAATGTAAAACTGTGTTTCTATAATTCAAAAAGGCAATTTTATACAGTAGTTAAGAACATAGACTCTGAGTCAAACAGAACTACATTTAAATCACTTCAGTCACCTCTGAGCTGTGTGATTGGGCCAAATCATTTAGTTTTCCTCAAATCACTTAACCTTTTGAAACCTCAGTTTCTTCCTTCATAAACTGGATTAACATGCAGCTGTTTCAAAGGGTTGGCAACTGATTAGCATAGCGTCTGGTACATAGGAAGCAGCTGATAAGTGTTAACAGAAAGTGATGTCTGAAAGGCTGTTCACCAAAATAGTTATCTCCAGATGGTGGGATTTCAGTGGATATTTATTTTATTCTTTAAACTCTTCTGAATTGCTTTAATCTTTTTTTTTTAACCCTAAACCTATGTAGGTTTTATTAAAAAAATCTAATGAAGTTTTGTTAAAATTACCTTCTGAATTCAAGAGTTCTGGTTTCATCTTTCCAGTACCACATCCCTAATTGTAATCCCAATTGCTGTAAAATGAAATGATTGCAGCAAAAACAATTAAAAGTTCAATTTACAATCCACATGTTCCAATAAATCTTAAACAATAATTCCCACCAGTCACTCTTTAACTCTCTCCATTCAATAAAGATGTAGAATCTTAAAGTGTCTGAGTTGCAGCCAGGATTTTATCCTTCTTGATTGTTTTTAGGTGTGCAAGGAAGGAAAGAAGAAAAGGAGGGGAAGGGGGAAATGGAGGAAGGGAGGAAGGAAACTCAACGTACCTCAAGGCTGATCATAGCAATTTACCGATTATTTGTCATTCCGACGACCACAAATTGATGCCAGGGCAGCCAGTCTTTCAGCTGAGTTAGACACGCACAACAGGAGGAGCTTGCTCTAACAGTGAGCCCGCCCTTCAGCGGCAGTCAGCAGAACACGTGCACCCTTTTGGCGTAGTGGTGGATAGCAACCACCAGCCTTTCATTTCCTGGATCCTAACCAGAGCAGGACTGCTTCCAAACCCACAGCACAGCCATTTATTTTGCAACCAACCAATTAGGGGTGGTGAGGTGGGATTTCATAAATATCTAAACATCTGCTTAAGGAGCGAGAATTCAATGCTGACCTTTTACCGGATACACCTCTGTACTTTTGTTTTTATAGGCAAATATGCCCACATCTCTTTGAGAACCGCTGGCCCACGGGCGAAGGCTGCGACCCGCCTCTGGAAGTGGGCGAGGGGAGTAGCAAAGGAAAACGAGGGTGTCCAGGCCGTGTCACGGAACCATCGGGCCTGCCAAAGCCACCCGGAGGCAGCAGGACCCGCCTCCCACCGGCCCCCGGAGTGGGGCGACCAAGGCTGCACTCACATCCATCCCGGAAGGCGCCTGCAGGTCCAACCGCCTCCTCCTCCTCGAATAAAACTCGGGCGCCGGGAACATGGCCTCACCCGGGCAACCGCACCGCGTCGCTAGGCTACCGCCAACCACGGCAGAAGGCACCGGAGGGGGCGGGGGCGGGAACCCTGTTTCCGTCGTGGACCGCGCGGGCGGCGGCCAGATCCCGGGCTTCTCTCGGGATCCCTGGTGCCCGGTGCACCTTCTTACAACCTTCGCTGTGGCAGCTTTCTGGCTTACTCACAGTAAGGCCGCCCAAGGCTTGATTCTTTAATGCATTCCAACAGTGAAGTAAACCACTTTACTGTTTTATTGCGATAACTAGATTCAGTCCTACAGGGAAGATCCATTTGTCCAAACTTTAATGGTTAGCACTATTCAGTTTAGATGATAAGGTTGGAGCAAGGTTGATTTTCGCGGGTTTAGGAGAAGAAGCTATGTAGTCTAGTGGAAGAGAGCATGGGCAACGAAATAAGGTTTCCAAAACAGTTCTGCTGCTTAACTAGTTGTGGAACCTAGGGCAAGACAACTCTGACCCTGCTTCTGAAAATACCCAAATCAGGGGTTATGAGGACTTTTTAAGGAGTAATGTGTATAAAAGCACCAGTGTTATTTTATTTTTTATTTTTGGCAGCTGGCGGGTGTGGGGATCTGAACCCTTGACCTCAGTGTTATAACACCTCCTCTAATCAACTGAGCTAACCGACCGAACTACACCAGTCTTAATTAAGTACTCAAAATTATTGTTGTTCAAAACAGAGAAACTTGCTTTTTGTCAATGGGTATTCAATTGATATTTTTACATGTTTCAAATCATATGTCTTATTCTTGCTACTGAGTTGATATTCAGATTCTGGTTGATATTTTTTTCCTTCCAACACTGATATAAACAATGCTAGATGATGCAATATGATTGGAAATGCCTAATATATATTTTGCGCTTGTATCTCCACAGTTTAATTAGCATAAGAAATGTCAGTAAATAGTGATTAAACGAGAGTGCTTTATTTTTTATTTTTTTTTTTTTTATTCACTGATATAAACAATGCTAGATGATGCAATATGATTGGAAATGCCTAATATATATTTTGCGTTTGTATCTCCACAGTTTAATTAGCATAAGAAATGTCAGTAAATAGTGATTAAACGAGAGTGCTTTAAAAAGTTCGTGGAAAAATGAAATTTAAAGATACTACGAATCTTTCCATAAACTTTTTGAAGTCCTCATATACCCCCATAAACGTTAAAATTATGGCAATAAACATCCCACTGCTTCCCCTACCCCCATCCTCCCAGTCTTGGTAACAAACACTGGTTACAAGGGTATAAAATTGTAATTGTTCAAGTTCGTGTTCTACTCAATTGAGTCAGTTCTGGTAGCTGTTCAGGTGGACTCAGATTTATGGGACCCACCTATAAGCTGTCAGTGCTGGTTTGAAGCTGTGCACAAAGTTGCAAACTGGTTTGAAGCTACTAGAAGATGACTTGCTTGAAAAGTGAGAATATCCCAAACGCCAAGAGCTTTTCACCAAGCAGTATATATAACTTGAGGTGGGGAGGAGAGGGTAATAATGATTGTTTATTGAAAACCCAAAACAATATCTACTTAAATATTACAGAACAAGTTATTTCACATTGTGCTAGAGGGGCATAATATTTAAAGGAAAACTTTCAGTAACTCTGAAGGGACCATCTTATACTTTTCTATCACCTTACACTAACAAAAGGAGAAAGGAAAGATTGTTTATATAGCTCTAAATCATTTATTCTAAAAAGTAACCCACTCATTTCCTAGGCTAGATTTTTCACCAATTAGGTTTACTTTTAAATGACATTAGAAACTCACAACCTAAACCGGGAATATAATTTTTACCTTTAAAGAAAAAAAAATTCATATCATAAAGTAACTTTGGATAAAGATATCTTCTAAATATTTAATAAGTCCAAGTGTCCTGTGAGGGAAAGTTTTTTTTTTGTTTGTTTTTTTCCTAATTAAGAGAAATTCTTCAAGGTCATATACCTATCTAACAGCACATAACATAGAACTAAGTTGTTTGTCTTGGATTTTAGGCCCAAGACATTAACTAAATATAATGCATGCTTATACTATGAAAAAGTCATATAATGGACAGATTTTCAGAGTGTTCTAATTTTACCTAATAAAATGAACGCTCCATGAAAGAAAATGGCAATGCTAAATTTTGAATTAGCAACTCCATTTTTGGTTACTTATTTACTCAACCTTCAATTCACAAACAACCTAATCTACACTCAAAGGGTGGTGGAAAGGGCCTATAACTTTTTGATTTGTTCTAAGGGAAAAACATTTCAACAATAAGTACCACCCTATTAAACTTCAGAAATGCATATACCCTAAAATATTTCCATTCCAAGAGCTACAACAAAAATAAATACTTACCTCTTTCTCTGAAAATTATTTTTCTACAAGGAATGAAGTTCTGTATCTAATTTCTAATTCTGTTTCCAATTCAATCAAAACATTTACTCAAACCTATTTATACATTACACAGAAACAACTGAATATTCTTGTTTCTTAATTTAAACATATGAGAGTACTTCAAAAAGTTCATGGAAAAAGATGGAATTACAAGATAATACTAATCTTTCCATGAACTTTTTGAAGATCCCTCAATACATTCCCTTTGGTAATTGTCTTGTGACACATGGATGTGAGATTTTAAAACTTCAATTCCAGTGTTCAGAAACAAGGGTAGGGCCGGCCGGTGGTGCACCGAGGGTTGCGATCCCATTGCCGGTCAGTAAAAAAAAGACTAAAAGGAAAAAAAAAAAAAAAGAAACAAGGGTAGTATGCCTCACAACACAATTTTTATAAACTACATTGAACTTAAAGTAGAAATATCTTATGTACTCACTATTGAAACTTCATAAAGAACAGATCTTTTGATTTGATCTAGAGAACCAGGTTGTCTTTTTGTTTCAAATTATACATTAGTAATTAAAGAAATTCTCATTAAGTCTCTGACATACTGAATGGGTGATCTATTAAATATCCTATTATGCATATTAAGTTTAAAGATGTAAATATTAATATTTCCTAATGTACAAGTTTTAATGCATTTCCATTAAACACATCAATACTATAAAAAATTTAAAGTGAGCTCATGTTGAAATTTCATACACCTTATATACTGTAAACAACCTGTTATGCCTTATTTTGACAGGTGTCTCGATTGCCCCAAAACAGGGACAACTATGTTAATCAGACATTCAGATAAGAATTTAAATGCCTGTCTGAGAAATGTACTTTTTCAATTCCTTAACATTCTATCCCACTTTTTTTAGTCAACCACTAGTTCCAAGCATAACTCACTACTTTCAAGTAATGCTTAATTATTCCTTAAACTGTAATTTAGCCCGGTCCTAACATCAAAGTACTTTTTCCACTGTTATTTGACTCTGGCTGATCTAATATCTGCTAAGGAGTTCCTGGGGAGTTATTGGTTACGAGTTTCATCTGAGCCCTCAAATGGCTACTTTAGTGGCTTTACCTTAGTAATATTCACATCTAGATAAATTTGAGAAGACAGAATTAAATACAAATCACTCAAGAAGGGTAGAGTTTTACAAATTACTTTTCAAAATAACAGAAAATGAAGCATCTACATAGATTGAGGTCAGTGTTACAGCAAGTTATGAGGTCATTTTCTAATACTTTAGAAACTAATCTCAAGTGAGGTCCAAAAATGAGTCATACTAACACCAAATTGCACTTAAAATGCAATTATATTTTGAAGTTAGAGCAAGGGAAACACTTGCAACAAATAAAGGACTAATAAAAGGGTAATAGAGGGGGCTGGCCCGTGGCTCACTTAGGAGAGTGTGGTGCTGATAACACCAAGGCCATGGGATCAGGATCGGATCCCTATATAGGGATGGCCGGTTAGCTCACTTGGGAGAGTGTGGTGCTTACAATACCAAGTCAAGGGTTAAGATCCCCTTACCAGTCATCTTTAAAAAAAAAAAAAAAAAAAAATCACTCTAAAGTTACAATTCACCTGATTCTATCAGTACCAAGATAGCTTGTCAAACATTTATGCAATGCTACCTGTAGTCAATGAAATGCCCTTATATGCTCCTTGCTGAAAACTTTCCACCAACATTTTAAGTTTACTTTGAAGCAATTTCTTAATTGCCTATTTTATCTTCCTCCCCCAACCCAAGTGAAATTGGCAAAAAAAAAAAAAAATCTTATTCGTACATAAGGGTCAATTCCTGTGTGAGACGGTTATTACCAAAGCTCAATATTCTAAGGCTAACTTGTTCTCTAGTTTTTAAATAATTACTCATAGTATTCCTTCAAAAATTAATCTCTTTTCATGATGCAGAAGAGTCCACTACTAAATTGAAAATATAGCTTCTATAATTCACTGTTCTCTTAAGAACATGAGGCAAATCTATATAATTTGGAAAGAGATACCAAAATGTCTGTGTGCAAAGAAAATATTGGGTTAACTATCCATTTTCCAATCACTTTTACTAAACTTCTTCCAAGTTCCCCTTAAAGAGACTATATCAGACCAAAGAAGTGCCATTCCACTAAAAAATATAAATGAACCTCTTTTATTAAAGTGTAAGCCCAGGATAGTGGATCTTCAAAGGGCTGCAATATTCCTTTCTGTAAAAATCTCAAATTGGGTATACAGGAAAATGGGCAAGTTGTGCATTAACAAAATACAGGACTATCTTACAGTTTGCCTTTTAAAAAATAAATCTATTGTAATGACTTAAGGCAGGTATTGAAAAAGTATTATGATCCTCAAAATCAGAAAAAAAATCCATTATCTTCCCCTACTCCCCCTGCTACTCCCCCACCAAGTAATTATAACTGCTGGAAACATGTTCTCATTGAACCTGCCCATAAGCTCAGAAGTTGAGGTGCTTTACTAGAAATTTAAAGTTAAAACAAGTTTGACCAAATTTGGACTCAATATTAAATTGCTTTAAAGCTTGCCTGCTGGTTCTTGTTTCAGGCACCCATGTCACATAAAGCGACTTGTTTCTAT